TCTCAGGTAAGATTTAATTGTTATGAGATTGCTGCAATCCTGATTCTGATATGAATAATTCTAGCCCTTAAAATTAATAAGAACACACTCTGCTAAAAGTCATTCCCCTACAAATAACATATGAATTATAATGGAGCAGTGATCAAGAATGGTGGATCTGATACCCATTGAACAGCCTTTGCAAACCATTCTTCTGAATGTCCTTCAGCTGATCTCAATATTTGTACATCAGTTCATTCTGTGCTTTTATTTTAGAATTGTCATTGCTGACTTCCATTTTCTTTGATGGGCCTGGTCCATCATCAACTGCATCAGCTTTTTCTTTCCTTCAACAGTGCAAGACACACGTCTATAAACAAGTAGATCCTCTAACCTAACACCGCAAAATTGAAAGCTCCACATTCAAACACTGCAGTTAAAAACATAAATAAAACAGAATAAAATAAAATAAAAATACCACAGATCGTACTTTCAAATCATAGAAAAACCAAACCATGAAATCTACCATACTACTTTAACAACCTTAAACACCAAGTATCACTTTAAATTCACCAGTATGACCTCTGAAACGTTGGGTAACATCGGCCAGTCTACACAGCGCAACAACCCAGAAGATAGAAATCTTTATAAAAAGGTGAAAGTCGCTCCGTTAGTCAATATATAAATGTGAGCAGGGGCTGTAAAATTGAACCACTCACATACAGGAGCATCGTGCAAAGTGTGAATAGGCAGGAGGAGGTTTTGATCAATGTTGGTTTTAAGAATACGATTTGCTTCTTAATTCTTTTGAATTGTGATTTAACAATGACGAACGAACAATTGCGTTCTGCGAGAGGAAATGCATCTGAATGATCAATAAATGAGCATAGCAGAGCGTGAACTCTTTTCGTTTCAGATGGTTTTTAAGTGTGGCAGTTCTGCAAGGTGCAGTGTACGCCATGGGCGGTTTCTATGGTGGTCTGCGTCTCAGTACGGCGGAAAGATACGACTGCGAGACGGACCAGTGGTCTTTGATCGCTCCCATGAACAAAAAGCGAACCTTTGCAAGTGCTGCTGTGCTGAATGGTACGTAAATCCTGTGAAACAGTAGTGTGTGAATTAGTGCAGATGACGAGGCGTCTGTCTGTCGGTTTGTCCATGTGGAATAACGCAAGAACTGTTGAAGGAATCGCAGGATTTGAGGTTCTCACGGTCGCGAGTACGAAGTTGGCTGTCGTTTGGCTTCTGCCGACGTTTAGGACGAACTTTATGCCTTCATCATCAAGATATTCCTCATCTTCTCTCTTGAACTTAGTTTCCCTCACTCCTTTGTCCACATTCTTTTATTATGTCTTTCTTTTATCCGTGCTACGTATTACGTTATTTCACAGACAGCAACGGTTTGAAGTTCTGAGTCGTGATGGTTTCTTCTGCTCTTGTAAGCTGTCCCTGTGCGTCGTCTTCTGCCTTTGTAGTGTACACTCGGAGTGAGTGTAAACAACCGTCAAACTATCAAACTGGGTCTCATATAATACGGATGTAATATGTTTTGAGGCAGTCAATAATCTCATGTAAATAGCACGTTGTATTATAAATGTAGAGCACCGCTTAGCAGCTCTTACCGTACATCTCTGATACCAAATTTAATAAAATCCGCTCTTTATGCTGTTGATATTAAATTATATCGGTACAAGTAGTTTCCTTTGACTCGCTGTTTGTCTGCATTTAAAACAGAGAAACAGATGAACAGAGACAGCCGTGTCTGTGCAGTTTCTGTGGCTCGAGGGGGGACATAAAATACAATATCATTAATAGATTTACAAATTTAAGTACGGATTGTCCCATGTTTGTGATCATCAAAATGGTTTACTGTTTGTGTCATATAGCTAATTTGTTTTTACAGACAAAATATACGTCGCTGGTGGAGATGATGGTAACAATTGTATTAATTATCTAAACTCGGTGGAAGTTTATGACCCGGACACCAACCGATGGACGTTCGTTGCACCAATGCTTTTTGAACGTGAGGATTTTTCTTGCGTCGCGTTCCACGGCTGTCTGTACGCCCTGGGTGAGAACTCTGGACATTCCGAGTGATGCTCCTCTGTCCTTCTTACAGAACTTGTTGTTGTGAAATGTTTTCCTGGTTTTCTTTGAGTGACTGAGATTTTATGAACAGATTTTTTCTCCTGTCCTTGCAGAGTTAGTTTGTCAATAATTTTAACCCCGATTCGTTTTTTAGATTGCATTCCCCACGAAGAACACTTAAGTAACAACGCATAATCTCTTGTGGTATCTCAAGTAAAGTATGCCCCATTTTTCACACAGTCGCAGTTTTAAAGGTAAATATTTTGTCCTTGTTGCAAGGAAATTTCAGTTTGCCGTGCTGTTATCCCCAAAAAGCCGATGGTTTAAAGCAGTCCCTTCGCAGTCTTTGCTTTCGTCACTTGTTTGTGTAACGCCGTTTTGAAGAGTGCGTCTTGTGTTGTTGAACGCTATTTTCGGACTCAGTTTCATAAAGCAGAAAACAGATGTCAGGCGCAATTTCCTGATGCTACAAGTACGAAAATAATATTGTAGCTTTTTCATCCTTAATTTCGTTCCTGGTGCTAATATTAACACTTCAAGAGGGAATGAATTTTCTTCGTTGTATTTCATTCATTCGTTGCGTTTACGGAATTGCAAATTTTAAGAGCGTAAAGTCCGTTGATTAAGACGGACGGAGTTTGAAGCATTGAAGTTACGAGAAATACAAACAACTAGAAAGTTATAATTGGTAATGTTGAAGGTAAGATACCACTTGTGATACATAGGCGTGAAAGGAAGGATAATATTAAAATGTTTTATAGAACTAGTGTAAGTTTGAAGGGTTCAATTACCGACTTTTGTGAATAAGGTAATGAATATTGTGGCTCCATAAAGGCCAAACATTTGGTGGCCAGGTGACAGTTACAAATATCAAGAAGGGCCCCGATGAATGGGGTTAGAATAAGTTCCCTTTGGCAGCTTTTTTATATACTGTGACCTGTTACTGAATGTGTGTGTGCAGGAGGATGCAACGAGACATCAAGCGACCTCAGTACCGAAAAGTATGATCCCGCAGAAGACAAGTGGACCGAGATCCCTGGCATGGTCATCCCCTCGTATTGTAGCAAAGTAGAAGTCATCGACGATAAAATCTTGCATGCAGTCTCCTACCATCTGTTGACGGAGTTGGTAAGGAGCTCCAAAAACACCCCAGAGGACAAATTTCTTCATATTTGTTTGTGCAAGAGCCAGAAATCCCACAGAAATTCATTCGATTTCGGTTTGTGTCTGATTTACGTCCAGCAGATCCTCTCCAGAACTATTTTTGGTCGGACAAATATGTTTTGAAAAATATTGCATAATTATGAAAATATTATGAGCCGGGAAAGCTCAGTCAGTATAGTGACTAGCTACGGGCTGGAAGACCGGGGTTCGATCCCCGACGGGGGCAGAGGATTTTTCCTCTAGCCTCTGCGTCCATACCGGCTCTGGGGCCCACCCAGCCTCCT